AAAATCTTTTGGAAATGATTTTTATATATATCTTGTTAATGATGAGCCTTTAACTTATTCACAAGCTATTTCTTCAAAAGAAGCTCCATTTTGGCTTGAGACCATACAAAATGAAATTGAGTCAATCAAATAAAATAAAACTTGGGTTTTAACCGATTTACCAAAAGGTTTTAAACCAATCGGATGCAAATGGATTTTTAAAAAGAAATTAAATCCGGATGGTTCAATTGATAAATATAAAGCGAGGCTTGTGGCGAAAGGTTTTTCTCAAAAACATGATGTTGATTATTTTGATACATTTGCACCGGTAACACGTATTTCTTCCATTCTAACTTTAATTGTTTTGGCTTCTATTCAAAAACTTTTTGTCCATCAAATGGAAGTTAAAACTGCGTTTTTAAATGGTGAGCTAGAGGAAGAAATTTATATGGTGCAACTAGAGGGTCATGTAGTTATTGGTCGGGAACACAAAGTGTGTAAGTTGGTCAAATCTTTATACGGTTTGAAACAAGCTCCAAAACAATGGAGTGAAAAATTTGATGAAGTGTTATTTGCTCATGGTTATACCTCACTAGAAGTAGATAAGTGTGTATACACTAAATGTGAAAATGGTGTGTGCATTATTATTTGCTTATATGTGGATGATATGTTAATTTTTAGTAGCAACCTTGAGCTAATAAATGAGACAAAATCCTTTCTTGCTTCAAAATTTGTTATGAAAGACTTGGGGGAAGCAAAAGTGATTTTGGATATGAAAGTCATAAGGAAGGATGATGGTATTATACTGTCTCAAGAGCATTATGCTGAAAAACTTCTAAAGAGGTTTGGACATTTCGATGTCAGCCCCGTGAGCACCCCTTATGACTCTCATATACACTTGAAAAAACATAGAGGTGATCCCGAGGCTCAATATGAGTATTCCCAAATTATTGGAAGTCTATTACACTTGATGAATTATACGAGACCCGACATAGCTTATGTTGTCGGAAGATTGAGTAGATATACTCATAATCCAAGTGGGGATCATTGGACCGCGTTGAGGCGATTACTCAGATATTTGAGAGGTACCATTAATTATGGTATATTTTATAGTGGGTTACCCGTTGTACTAGAGGGATACAGCGATGTCAACTGGTCTCTGACTCATATGAGATAAAATCCAACACTGGATATATATTCACCCTTGGAGGTGGTGCCATTACGTGGGAATCAACCAAACAAACTATAATTTCTAGATCCACTATGGAGTCCGAGCTTATCGCTTTGGAAGTGGCTAATAGTGAAGCGGGGTGGTTGAAAAATTTCTTAGCAGAAATTCCAGTTGGTACAAAACCAACACCATCTGTGTCTATTCATTATGATTGCAGAAGTGCAATAGATACTGCTAAGAAAATGTGTTATAATGGGAAGAATAGACACATTCGTTTAAGACATAAAGTCATTAAACGATTATTGAAGAATGGAATTGTGTCCATTAATTTTGTGAGGTCATAAGGAAATTTAGCGGATCCTTTGACAAAAGCCCTAGGACGAAAATTGATAACCGAAACATCTAAGAAAATGGGACTTGTGTCACTTTGAAACAAATGGGGATGGGAACCCAACTTGAGTGATTTGAGATCCCATGAAGCAAGTTCAGATGGGTAATAACAAGTCTTCCATTTAGTTATGCTAGCCTAACTAAAATTGCCCATTTCCATGATGTGAGATATAGGCTAAAAGCCGCATTCTTTGAGAGGGTGAGCTAAAAACTCTTAATGATTATCATAGCCCTTAATTTTAGGGTGGTGTGCAAAAGCGGTACATACTTGATGATATCACCTATATGAGTGTGAGGTGGAGCCGCCTCTATGAAGCATGACAAAACTTCTAGAGCACTCATGAACACCAAGCACGCGCATGAGTTTACGACGCACAACGGCGTAATAACGAGAAATTATGTAGAGTGAGACACGGTCGTTAAGACCCTGATTTACCAATAGTAGCTTATTGGTTCATAGAAACTATATGTTTCGCCAAAAGCTCGGTTTATTAAGACTTAATCGTCTCGGTTTGGTTCATAGTCTACGGACACCAAGCTTAAAGTCTCATTCCTTTAATCCAGCAGCGATTTTCTAAACTATTTTTAACATCTAAAAATATTCATTTGAAATATGTGGGGGATTGTTGAAAAAAAATTGAGAGTATTTCAAATGAATAAAATACTATTTCCTTTAATTATTTTTTACACACTAATTTAATAATAAATATTCATACATCTTATATATACATTATACTTTTATCTCTTTATATTATCTATAATAAAGATTAGTTTTGAACGTTACAAACTCACAATAGTACGTGTTGGACTTGTATTAATATTATTAAATAATATTTACTCCTAATGATTATATTAGCTAGTGGGACTTGAACCATTAAGCTGTTGCATTCAGGAGTTATGTTTGATGGAAGCCAAATAATTTTAACATTAATTTTTATAATTGAGCCTTGAAGTTGCTAAACGTATGTGGGAGTAAAAATCCAACTTTAAGAATTCGAACGTTAGTATAATAGTATTTAATAATACTAATGTTTCACGTGAGCAGCTAGCAACGTTCATGTTGCATGTGTATATATAGATGTGTTCGGCCATGCTAGGGGTAGGTCAAGAAAAAGATAAATTTGAGCTAAACATTCCCCATTATTTTCACTCTGATGGATTAATATAATTATCACTCTCGTTGTTCTGTTACCGGCTTACGCCGAAGAGCTCGTTTTATCTTAGGGAAAGGTTTTCGCTAGTCGGAAATACTTTCTTGAGGACAACGTTTACGCGACTCGTGCTATATTATTTTTCTAACGTTTTTTTGCAGGTTTATCCGACCAAATTCCACCAACAATACATCCCTGCTTTCGTTGCGGATTTCCTCCGTGATTCGAAAACACACAGGTATAGCAATCTGATGCGGTTGTGCCGCCGCCCGTGAACCAAGAAAAATCATACATAGTACTGGTGCATTTCATTGAATTAGATTTGATTAGATTTGGATTTGTGATCTTTTAAAATTATATTTAAATTTTATTGAATATTTTAGTTCAATTCAATTTTATTCCGTTTTTAAGAATATATTAGGATTTTAGTGAAAATTCCTTACACATCACTGATTCACTGGTGCTATCATGTTTGTTAATGAGATACCTTGGGTTGATTCACTGGACAAGTTTTCTCCACTTCTAGCTAAATATACTTTCTTTATTCGTGCATTTCATTTTCGTATATTCGTGCATTTCATTTTGTTCAAGTGACTTTTAGAGTCTATTTGGTAATATACAAATCGATTGTATTGGCGCTGATCATGCTAATTTATTAAAAACTACATTTAAAATATATTTTATTAATAAAATATTAAAAAATTAATAATATGAAAAAATAACTAAAATGATCCTCTAGAGTAATTTCAACCAATTCAACCAGAAAAGTAACTTCAACCTCACCTTTTCTTATTATTACACAATTCAACGCGCACAATTAAAAGTTACATATTTAGTGAAAAAGTTAATTGATAAGTTTGATGAGCCGAAAAATAGAACCACCAAACTAGAGGTGGACCGGTTCCGGTTTGGGCCCGGTTCGGGCCTCGGTTCATGAAAGGGGAGGCCCGGAACCGGCCCGGGTAACCCCGGGTCCGGTCCGGGCCGGGTAACCCCAGGTCCGGTCCGGGCCGGGTAACCCCAGGTCCGGTCCGGGCCGAGCCTCAGTTCTTGTATTTTTTTTTTTTGGCTTTTCCTAATTAACCCCCAACCCTCCCCCCTCACCCCCAAACCACCCCAAACGGCCCATCATACCCAGCCCAACCCAAAAACTTAAAAAAAATTTGAAAAAACAAAGAAACAAAAATAAAGTGGCCCGGACCGGGACCGAACCGGCCGGGCCGGTTCACGATTTAGGAGGCCCGGGCCCGAACCGCCTACCTCACCGGGTCGGGTGGCCCGAACCGCCTACCACACCGGGTCGGGTGGCCCGAACCGGGCACCAACCGGTTCACCGGGCCGGTCCGGGCCTGCACAGTAGCGGGCCGGTCCGGGCCCGCACAGTAGCGGGCCGATCCGGGCCCGCACAGTAGCGGGCCGGTAGGCCCGGCCCTAGGGGTGGACTCAGGCCGGGCCAACCGGCCCGGAACCGGACCGGCCCGCTACTGTGCGGGCCCGGCCCGGCCCGGCCCGGTGAACTGGTTCTGGGCCCGGTTCGGGCCAACCGGCCCGGTGGGATGGCGGTTCGGGCTCGGGCCCTTCAAATGGTGAGGGCCGGGCCAATTTTTATTTTATTTTATTTTTTTTGAATTTTTTTTAAGTTTTTGGGTTGGGCCGGGTATTTTGGGCCATTTGAGGTGGTTAGGGTTGGTTTGGGGTGAGGGGGGTGGGGGTTAACTAGGAAAAGCCAAAAAAAATAGAACCGAGGCCCGGGCCGGTTCCGGGCCTCCCCTTCTTGAACCGGGCCCGAACCGGAACCGGTCCATGCCTACCCAGCCCGAGTCCACTCCTACACCAAACTTTGATAAATTAGTGATTTTTGTGTAATAGAAAAAGTGAAAAACACTTTAAAACACCTCTCAAACTGCTTCCAAACACTAATTTCATCTTTTTTTAAGCCAGAAATTGAAAAGCACTTTTTTTAATCTCTTCCAAACACTCTCTTAATCAGGAGGTCCGGAGGGTAGTCGTTCGTGCTTAGCAGATTGGTGGCAACATTCTCTATTTTTATTATCCTAGCTCCCAAGTGTTATTAGGATAATCATCTATAGTTCTTCAAATTAGGATAAACTCTTCTTTTAGATTATAATTCAACACCTCTTTACCAAAATAAAATCCAACACATCTCAGATCTGGTCATAATCACTTCTAAGCAAGTTGTACAATTGTACAAGTAATGTGACCTTTTTTGGCAAGGTACATGCTTTTGGGACAAAAAGTTTTTGAAGCATGATTTTTCTTTCAAACGAATGCAGTTTTATGGCCTTATGGGGACAGCAACTTTAACACTTCAAATGTGGATGCCTAATAACCTCCTTACAACACCATTAAAAGGAACACCAATATAAGGAGATTTTACTTCAAAGATGTTAGATGTAAGAACTAACAAATATACCTGATCCAGCATTGTGTAGTTTGTATCAACAAGAGCTTAGGTATTCCAAAATAAGCCAGATATGCAATAATTGTAGCTTATAAAATTAAGACCGAGTGTACAACTACTCATGTGTTAATCAACTACATTCCCACACAGCCATTTCCTCCCAAATTGTACACTATCCAAATCGGGACGTACTTGACTGTGACAAGGTATTAGTGCTGATGTAATTCTGAAACGTGAAAAAGATCTGCCTATTCACTTTCTGTCAGGTAGTCTGCTCCTAAAGACTTCAACCATTCTTGAATCCGAAGTTGATAGAACTTGAGGCATGGACATGCCACCAGATACAACTATCTCTGCAATAAAAAAATTAAGACCACATTTTTATGCATTGTAAAGAACCTGCTGTCCTTGGTATTTTTTCAGTAACTGATACAGTGATACTCTGTAAGTTCCTACTCCTAGGGTGTTTGGTTGTTTTAGGAAAGCAATTGCCAGGTAAAAGAAACCCGGTTTCCTTAGAATCTGGGTCGGTTTGGAGCAAGGAAAATGTCGGGGAAAGAAAATGGGGGTCTAGAGGGATTAAAGAGTTGATTCAAACTCATTAAAACAACTTCAGATATTTGTTCAAACTCATTGTGTGTGCGCGCACGTGCGTGGATATTTCTATTATTATGTTCAGAAATCAGAATATATGTGCAACTCTATTTTTTAATCAAATCTAACTTTCCTTCATATTTTTCAAGAAAAAACTGAACATAAAAGCTATACTCTTTAGGCACTTTAGCGCTCTTTTCCTTCTATTATCAATTTATGGGTTCGAAATCTTGCCTCCCTCCCCTAAGATTGAGCACCCAGTTTTAAGGGAAAGTAAGCCAATTTCTATGAAAAAGTTGAAGTGTGTAGTTGATGCGTCAGGAAAGGTGTCAAACTCGCTCTTTTTATTTTCAAGGGATAGTAAGAGAGTGTTTGGCTGTTTGAGATAGCTGAAAAGATTAGATTATTTAAAAGATTGATTATAACTTTATAAGCGACTATAGATGTAAATATGTAATTGATTATAACCAGAATCAGGTTTTGTTTGAGAATAGTTCACTTAAAAATGGTTTGATTTTTTGTTTGATATAACAAAAAAATAGCCTTGCAACATATAATTGTATGAAAACAGCTGAAAAAATTTTTAATTTTTTCAAAATTAATTATAAGAGCAAAAGTCCAATTTAGTTAGAACTCGAAAACAGCTGAAACTTAGGGGGTGTTTGGATCTACTTATTATAACTGCTTTTGCTCCATGAAGAAGCAGAAGCAGATATTGGAGTATTAGGAACCAGAGTCGGAGAGATGAAAATTGACGTAGAATTGATATGATAGTACTGAACGGAAAACAGAAAGATACGATAGAGACAGTTCGAGTCGTCTCAACACTCCCAAGGCCTAATTCCAGATCCAAATTCTGCCTACCCTCTTATTCTACTCCACTCCTATTTATAATAAATTCCCTTATGGGCCGGCCCAAGCTAACTAGTACCTAGCCCAAAACCCTTCTTTATACAATATCACACTCCTTAGTATAATTCTACTATTATTATTTTTATTGGAGGTCCATGTCCCTATCATATCTCCCCCTTTGAACAACCACCTTGTCCTCAAGGTGGGTGATAGGAAACAGCCTTGATCTTCAAATTCATCTTCATCCTGGCGCCTCTCCCTTCCCAATACATCACAGAGTACATCACAGATTTCTGAACCCATAGCTTCCTGATTTGAACCTTCACCATCACTCCTTTCATAGCCAGAAAGAGCATAGCAAGAAAGGGCAGAGGCAAGGACTTTGTTGCATCCTGCTCCACAATGTTGCAGAGTTTAAAATCTTCCAGCAACTGCATCTCTGGCCCATCTCCCAACCACTTTATGCTGTGTTTCCATAAATTTTTTTTACTTTCCCTGATTGGCTAGCGGTCCCATTCCAAGAATCACATAAATCTCTCCAAGGTCAATAAATAGAAATCCTCAGTCATCACTGAATTTCGTACCCAAGTCTGTAGTACCTCACAACTGCTCTGCAGAGATAATTGCTCTCCCTTCCCCGTCTTGACTTGAAACCTCACTACTGCTTTATAGTACATCTGCACCACCTCTATCAATTTCTGAGATATGAGATTAAGAGTGGCCCCAGACTTCGGTAATATGAGAATCTGTAGCTCTCCTTGTACCTTGCAGGTTCTAGGGAATATAAGTCCCTCTTTGCTTAGGGCAGATAGTTGTAAGTGTTTCACCTCTCCCTCAGATTCATCTTCAAGATTAGGCTTGTGATCTCTTGATAACTCAAGTGCCTGATTCTTCCTAGATAGGACACAACGAGAATCGCCTACATTTGCAACTATAAATGCTTGAAATTCATTTTGACCCAAGTCTGGTTGAAATCTTCTGATCCCTGCATCCTTCAGATCACCTACACCTCCTTGATTTATACTGACAGTATCATAAGTCGCATAAAAAACATAAAAATTTGTCAAATGCTCCACATTTTGCGCCTCCAGGATATAGTCATTCTCTGTAAACATATGCATCCACTCGCTCAGTCCTGTGCAACTCCACAACTCTCAATTCCCCATATAAGAGAGCCCACTTGCAGCAACAGAATAAACCTCCAAAGTAGGATATTGAGGAACTTCAGGTGCAAATCTACCTTTAAACAGTCCTCTACTTGTGTCAGGATCTCCATGCGTATTTATGGAAAATACACAGTAATGCAACCACCCGCCTACAGAATATATCCCTCCTTGATTTGCTCGCTCGTGTACCTCAACAGTTTTATCCATCAAACCCATCCGTGCCTCGTGATCTACAAATTTCTTCCAGTAAACCAAAAATGCATACTTCTTCATAACGTTCCTCTCTGCTACTTTCTCAGTTTCCTCTGCAGCTTCAGCAACTATCTCTTCAAGCAAAGCAGGCTTTGAAAGTGAGCTGGCATCGGCCTCAACATTTTCTGCCCTTTCCAGATTATCTGGTGGACGTCCTGTGGGTTGAATATCATCATCGTTCATCTCCCTAAACGTGTACTGAATGCCATAGATATCAGAGAATGTGGGTATGTATGACTCCCCTTTTAATATGGAAGACAAAAACATCAGGCCCAGCAGTCATCCCAGCAAGATCTGAATTCCACTCCAGTGCTTGAATCCTCCTCTCCGTTGAATCTATGACTTTTACCTAATCTACCAGTTGCCTATGATTGACAGTAACTTCATTTTTGCCAGGGTCACCCATAACATCCACGGACAGCAGCTTGGTCTCCAGAGAAGAATTACCAGCTTCTCTAGCAGAATTTTGCCCTAGATTGGCGACCCTCGAAACATCCTCAGCACTGTTAGGGACCAATTGAACTCTATCTTTTATATTTTCCCTGCGGCGCGAAGAATTAATGCCTTCTGAGGGAGGTTGCAGCTGAATAAAAGACTCCAGATGGAACGATTGAGGTTCCACATAGTGAGAAGCAGTTGGTGTCAGAACCTGAGGACTGGTAGAGTTGGTCACTGAAACCTGCGAACTGGGACTATGAGACGCAGCTATAGGCTGAGAAGAAACCTGCGAACAGTAAGCTGCGAATTGCAAATGGACCGGTGAACTGGAATATCCTGTTAGCGACGATGCTCGCGTACTGGGAGAAGAGGTTTGCGGCTGAGATGAAACCTGCAAACTCAGCGAATCTGATAGCTGCGAACATGGCGACTGCGAACATGGCGACTGCGAACTGCAAAGATCTTCTCGCGATGACGACTGGTGGCGAACGGCTAGAGATGGCGACCTGGAGAACTCTGTTCGCGGTGAAGCTGGCGAACTGGAAGAAGATGCTGGCGATTGAGTTGAGACTTGCGATTTTGAAGATGTCCGCGAACTACGGGATGCAGTTCGCGATTGCGAGCTAGGAAGAGCAAGGGACGAAGACACCAGATTATTTTCAATCGGCCGACGGTGTCTAGGAGGGCTCCTCGCTCTGTCTCTATGCCGCTTGAGTCTGTGACGAATTTTGCCCAACATATGACGCATCTCCTTAGCCCAATCACTTTCAACCTTTTCCGCGTGAAGCATCCTGATCGGATCTTCCCTGCTGCCTGCGCGAGTCCTTTCCTCCTTGCGTACACTGGAGCTTCTCCATGTGCGCGCATAACTTTTCCTTGCTGGTGCGTTTCTCACTGTTCACGCGCAAACCAGATGCGGCCAGTTCTGACTGTCAACGTTCTTTGCCCAAACCAGAGCGCTTCTCCACGGATCCAGGCGTCGAATGCTCTGATACCATCATTAGGAACCAGAGTCGGAGAGATGAAAATTGACGTAGAATTGATATGATAGTACTGAACGGAAAACAGAAAGATATAATAGAGACAGTTCGAGTCGTCTCAACACTCCCAAGGCCTAATTCCAGATCCAAATTCTGCCTACCCTCTTATTCTACTCCACTCCTATTTATAATAAATTCCCTTATGGGCCGGCCCAAGCTAACTAGTACCTAGCCCAAAACCCTTCTTTATACAATATCAAACTCCTTAGTATAAGTCTACTATTATTATTTTTATTGGAGGTCCATGTCCCTATCATGGAGCGTTTGGTGGAAGTGCAGAACTACTTCTAAGTGCTCCAAATTACTCTAAGTGCGTCAAACTGATTTTGATTTTACTTATGCTTTTAAAAAAGAAGCACAAGCAGAATCAACTCCAAACACCCCTTATAGAAAAAGTGCTTCCAACTTATAATCTGCCAGTCTACCACCCCAAACAGGATGATTTTTTTAAAAAATAACTGAAATTATTCAAAAACAACTAAAATGAATGTATCCCATTACATGCTCTAACACTTCTCATGGAAAGGAAACATGATACAAATGTATATCTCCTTGGATAGGCTTGAATGGAGATTGAAGACTAAAAGTTCAAAGTCATGCTTCCTTAAAGCACCTTTGAAAATGTTAAATAATAAGGTTACGTACCAATTCCTTCACGAACAGACAAATTTGGTTTGATAACGTCTTTTGCGTTGATTAGAAATACATCGCCAATATAGAGATGGTTTGTAGGAACATACACACAGTATAGCTCTTCATCTCCTGCATAGTTCTGTTTTTGAATAGCACATACTTTCAATCTTTATTCGCAACAACATAAAAAAAGTTTCAAAAGATCTGATGTGTCAATGAAAGATGCAGCATCTTGTGAAGAGTTATGTCCAGTTGTCCACTTTTTCTTTTGACTACGTACGTTGGCAATTCACATATGTAATCTTCCATTTTCAATTCTGACACAATTCATCACAAATGTTCTAAAATTGCGGCCCTGGTTCTCGATTTGGTCATGGCTAGTAACCACAGCAATCAAGATAAGATGAAATGTGTTAATACTGAAAGTAGACTGTTCAGTTTTGCGTGTCACCACAGTTGGTGGTCCCTAAGTTATCAGCTTTGTGGCACAATCGACCCATGCAGTAATAGTAGTGTTCTAACTTGCTCAAACTCAAAATTTATGTTAATTCCAAACGGGGCTAAGTTTTGACCGGTTTAAACTTTACTTTTCTACAGAGCTTTTTCCATTTTTGATAAGACAAAATCAAATTTAGCCTTTTAGCATCATATTCCAAGTTCGGTCTAGATTACATACATTTTAATCAAATGTGTATCTAATACATTTATACATCACTAAACAAATCAAACTTAAGCAGACAAGGAAGCAGCTCCAATCAGCTCAATAACCGGCCCAAGTGCCCAACCCTTATAAATGATGCGACATTACCAAGCTAATACCAAGAAATTATGATTATAGGTATATTTATGTAAGGTAATATAATAATCAATCTGAGCCTCTGGGGACTAATTCCATAACAAATTAACAACACAGACAACTCATTGACTAAATGCGGTGACCCGCACTATTGAAGGAATTATATAACTATTTCCCTACAATTGAGGATTTGAGGACCCCAAGTGCCAATTTCCATTCTTTAAACAGGACAAAAAATTACTATAGTATGATAGTAGTTTAAAAGAGGTGCTTTAGCAATTTCGTAACAGAACTACTGATGAAGTAAACCATGCAGTAGTAGCATAAAAAAATGGAACCTTGATAAAAACATGGTCACATTTTAACTGAAATTAATGCAATTTCAAACTGGATTGCTGGAATAATGATTCAATCAATGAATACCTTAAAGCCTTATGTTCTTGGAATAACAAATCAAGGAATCCAAGTGATTGGCATACCTGAAGGACAACAGATGAGGTAATGAAGCCGAAAGCATATTCACCAATTCGTGGATGCCTTATAATGGCCACTTCCTTGAAAGCCTGTGTGTTCTGATCTGAAATAAAATGGTGCAGAAGAAAAATATATAATCCATTGCATGGAAACTTGAACATAGTCACATAAACATAGAATGCAATTAGATACCTGGAGAAATAGCAGAACTAATCTGTTTCGAGGCATTATAGATATGACGAACAAATGGCATTCTTTTGATAAACCACTCCCCAAGACTCAAAACAGATGCCCCCAACCATGAAGATGTAAATACTCCAACAAGGAAAATAAAAGAGATTGAAGTGGTGAATCCCAAACCTGATGATGTGAGATTGATAGGAACCAGGCAGATTAGTATAATAATAAGAATAATAGAAATATAGAATAATAAATATAAAATAGTGTTATTTTGTACTCCCTCCGTCCCGCTAAGATTGTTTCATCTTTCCTTTTCGGTCCGTCCCACTAATATTGTCTCCTACCAAATTTGGTAAATTTTGTGTGGTTCTAAATCACTCTTACTTTATTCGTACTTCATCAATTCAATATCAACCACATAAAGTCATTTTTCTTAATAAGCGTGCCACCACCTCATGTCCCAATGTTAGTGGGACAGATGTAGTACTAAATAGGGTTCTAGGTCCGGTAACTAAGTATTTGAGGGTCGGTTATTAGGAGTAGTATAAATAGAAGAGGAGGGGAGAATAAGACGGTAGGCCGAAATTGAGATAAGACTTGGGACTTGGGAGAGGGGACTGCTCCAAGTGTCTCACGTGTACTTTTTCCCTTTCCGTTCATCTCTGTTCTCAAATATGCATCCTATTTACCGTCTGAATTTGAGTTTCCTATCAGAAATCAAATTCTTAAAAAATGTGAAACAGACTATCCAGGCGTTATATTACATTTGGGAGTACAGGCAAAGGTCATCTCATGAAATCAATTTTATTTTCTTATTGCCGTGGCATACAAGGGTAAGACTGTGTACATCCGACCCCCCCTTACCCCACGAAGGTGGGAGCCTTTGCGGCACTGGGGTAATGATGATGATGATGATGATGATGATTGTCGTGGCATATATCGATCCTTATCAAGCACAACTAGAAGTACCTAAGGTATTAGTATTCATTAACAGCAACATTAGATACTGCCTACTGGATCTTTAGGGTGGAGGGGAAATCTGCTTACCAAATACATTGATGCCAAGATGAGCATAGATCGGGGAGAAAAACCCATCCACAAAATGAATAAACCACCATGTAATATAGAAAGTGACTGCTATAGGAAATAGGATAACACTGCACAAATTGATGAGTAAACATGAATTCTTGTACCAATCAGCAATATATGGACTACATAACCATCAAGCATAAACTAGGATTATATGCAGCTCCATTTCAACAATAATAAATAGATTAACACAATATAATCATAGCATTCATAAGGAAAAAGTATATGATATATGGCTATATGCGAACGGGAGCCTTGGCGCACTGGTTAAGGTGTTGCTGAGTGACCAAGAGATCACGCGTTTAAGTCTTGGGAGCAACCTCTTGTCAAAAAAATTGACAGAGGAAGGTTTGCCCCATATACACCCTTGTGGACCCTTCCCCGGACCCTTTCGTTGTGGGGATGCCTTCGTGCACTGTGCTGCCCTTTATGGCTATGGATGTTTTTACTTGGACTGTAATTCGTCCCAGACCAGACAAGATCAGACCAGACCAGTTTAGACCAGACCAGACCAGACTTGGATAGTTATAAAAATACAAAGAAACCAGACCAGACCAGATCAGACCAGATCAGCAAATTACAGTCCAAGTAAAAACATCCTATATGCACAGTTTCCTTCTATCAAATCATATGCCATTGGCTAGCAGTATAAAAAACAACAACAAGTAGCCAAGTTCCTACAACTATTTGACATAGAGCCACTGTAGAAAGCTATCATAATCAAGGATTACATGATTTGTGGTTGAGTACAATTATGACTGATGTTTTTGGCATTTTTCTTATTGCATTTTTTATTTCTATAATTGGATTTCAACTCTATCATGTACATTCAAGTATTGCCTGAAGCAGTGCCGAAGCAGATCTGAGATCATGGTTTCAGTGTGTATGTGAAGTTTGGTGGCTAAAGAACCTTAGGCCAAGGAGGATGCCACAGTTGATGGACCTTGGCAGGCTATTTGTGACAACCAGGCATGGTAGAATCCATGTCTAAGGATAAGAAAGAAGAAATTAAATAACTACAAATAACAAACTTCTTATTATACTGAACCATAAATCACGGTTCCATCTTCAGTCTTCTCCTTCAGAAAAATGGATCAATATGCACATGCTTGTTTTTATCACGGATTCACGGTACATTGACTGATGTATGCTTATGCTATGATTGATGTTAGTTGCTTCTCTTAACCCTAATAATAACTACCAGAGTATCTAAATCTCTCCTGTCTTCTTCCTATAAATCTCTTAGCCACTATGGACTGTTACTTGTCTTATCATACTTCTGATATATTTCCCCATTCTGAGGCTTTTTGCAATAGCCAAGTACCGAACTGGTATGTCTATGGCTCTATGCCTAACAAAAGGGCAGTCAGGTGCATGAAGGCATCCCGCAAGGCAAGGGTCCGAGGAAGGGTCCCACCATAAGGGTGTATAAGGAGCAAGCCTTCCCCTGTCAAAATTTGATAAGAGGCCACTCCCATGACTTGAACATGTGACCTCTTCATCACACAGCAACCTCTTAAGCAGTGTGTCAGTGCACCAAGGCTCCCCTTTTAGTATGTCTATGCCTATGCGTTAAAATAACTTCTCAGTATTTTCTTGTAAAAGAGAAAAATAAGGTGTGGGCCCATTCTAATTGAGCGAGTAGAGAAACAGGAATAGCTAACCAAAGAATTATGTGCCAAATACTCAAATCTAATGCTAAGAACATTAGCAATATATACAATAGAAAGAATCTACAAGTCTTAGTGGTTTGATTTTACTTTCTTTGGGGGTGTCACTGAATCCTTTAAATAATTCCCAATTAAAATCTTCTTAGGTGGAGCCAAAAGGTAAATACAAGTAACAAACACAAATGTAAGATAGACACCGAACAAACAGCACATGGAGCGTGTACTCAGTTTCAAAGACTAGAGAGAGCAGAAAACACACTCACCATCCAGTCATGAATTTTTTTGACGCCCAGCTCCTGATAACTTTGTAAAAAGTCTACAATGAAAACAAAGTAATTAAGCGGCTGTCACACGTTACAAGGAGTATGGAGAATTTTCATTTCATTTTAGGACTTTCAGGAAATTCTATAATGAGAGTTTGTTGGGCTTTTGGAAATATATAAAGTTTGCAGCAAAAAAGGTATATAGGCAATAGCAGAACCACATATTAAATAGATGAAACTGATGCCACCAAACTTCAGCTCAAACAAATTAAAGTGTGGAATGTGTTTTAGACTTTCAGCTACAGTTTGAAAGATAGACAGCAAGTCGGCAGGTTGGATGAGTAAGCCAAAAATGAAGGTGCTAAAAGACTAAGAGCATAAACACCTAAAGAAGCTAGTTATAATTAAAGTTGAGGACCAGGAGGGAAAGAAAAGAGGTAACTCTAGCTATCAATTTTGAATTAGATATTTGGGGTACCAACCGGAACAATTAAGATATTATCTAATTATCTTGGACTTGAATACACAAAGACCCCAGATTGACCAAAGCATAACCTTATTCCAATTTCTCATGAAATTGGTTGCACTGTTTTGGCAAAGTGAAAGTGTGAAATGTGTAAAAGGAATAACCAAGTAGAACACAAGTCTAAAAGAAACTATTGGAACATTGAGAAGTGATAAGGAGATTTGGTTAGTGGAACCAAGTCGTAGACAAATTTAATGCACTTGTGCACTACCCATACGCAAAATGAGATTTTAGTCCGCAAATTTAATGAACTACGGTCTACGGCATTACCCATAAATACTGCATCAGGTCATTGAAACCCACAAAAACATTCCTTGTTAGTAATGTTTAACCATGCGGCCACACCTAACTCCCAAGGGCTGAGGTTGTTACTTTTTGGCAAGACAGAATTTTTCTTGAGAGGGATTGTTTTGGTTTTTAGTTGCGAGACACTACACGAGAAAAGTATTACTGTTTAAAAGTGAACCTAGCTGCAAACTAAACAGCGTTCAAATCCGCCATGACGGATCTTTATTTTCTACAGCTCTAAAAGGAATCAATAAGCCCGATCACAGCCTACAGCTAGTGCCACAATGTTCATTTGTTAGGATCCTAAATACAAAGCAGTGTAAATGAATTTGGCTCCTCTCCAGTGACTAGAGACTTCCGTTTGGGGAGAGATAGAGGGGAAAAGTGAGGGTGGGGTATGTTAGAGAGTAAGAGAGCCAGAGGAGCATGACTGAGTGAAAATGCGATCCCTCAAAACCAAAAATTAATCTTCTAGTAAACAACTAAACAACTAAAGATGGTTGAAGCTAACACTGACTGTAAAATTTAATAAAAGACTGAGCAGCCACAAAACGGGAGCAGAATCAGCAGATACAGTTATTAGAACAATTCAGTCCCTCCATGATACATAAATTTGCAATCAATTGACAATTTAAGAGATTGAAATGTATTTGTAGTCTGTCTTACGTCTCGACCGGAGTGATGATGATGTGAAGGCAGGGCGGACGACGACGGCTTGAAGTCGGCGTCATGCCCGTGTTCAGCGGCGGAGTGAGGCACTGGTACGAGAAGCTCTCTATCCCTTTCCCTGCTGGTGCTCCCTATTGCACCCATCACCACCGATTGCCCATCTCCCATTTATTTTCAAGGGGCAATCTGAAGCTCCAATTTTTCGTTGCTGTCCACAATTTTCATCCCAATTTTGTCACAGACACGCGCAGTCTGGGATTTTGTTGTTACAGTTGATTCCGTTAAAAAAACTAGCGAGACTGTAATTCCACCTAGCAGATTTGTGTTGTTACAACTAGATTCCCAAGTGCCGCATGAACGGGATACTAAAATGTAATAGTGATCGGACATTATTTTTAAATGTTATTTGGTTGCGTGAAATAAAAGCAAATTGTCATATACGTAACATGCATAATAAATTATTGTTAAGGATCGGATAGTGAAAACTCAGAGATAGATAGTAAGTATGTTTTGGAATAAGTAGAATAAGCTAAACATTATATAGGGTTTCACAATCTACACATTGTGAAAAACTTCCTTATAAACTACATTGGTGGTGTTGTGAGCTGGTTGGTCATCTTCACCACATATCAATATCTTCAAACACTTAGGATTTGTTACCCTTGACACTGCAACAAAGAGTTGACCATGCGTCAAAACCGACTTTTTCAGTAAAAGTCCAACATCGAACAAAGATTGACCCTCACTCTTATTTATAGTCATTGCATAAGAAGTCATTACTGGAAATTGTCTTCTCTTAAACTTGAACGGAATTTTTGAATCTGAAGGAGTTAAGCTTAACCTCGAAATGACAACCTCATGCCCGGCATATTTCCCGCCCATAATTTTTGCCCCTAGGATGTGATTTCCAAGTCGTGTAACAATTAACATTGTTCCATTGCAAAGCCCCATCGAATGATAAATATTTCTTAAAAGCATTATCGGAGTACCAACCTTTAGGGTTAACTCATGGTTTGGAACTCCAGATGCACGTATTTTGTTGAGAAATTCAGGAGTATGCAAATCAGCAAGAAAGTTGACGAGCACTTCGTCGTATTGCGTCAAAATAAATCGATACTGACACTTATATGTAGTATATAGGTGAAGTAGAGTTCGTATCCACGGGAAAAAGAATAATTATCTTTTTAATGAAATAAGTAAATAAAAGGGGAATTTGGATGGTTGCACGTATTTTGTTGAGAAATTCAGGAGTGCAAATCAGCAAGAAAGTTGACGAGCACTTCGTCGTAGTGCGTCAAAATAAATCGATAACTGATTTAATGAGCCATTCGCAGTTTCACAGTCTAAATTGGTGAATTCTGCTTCACAATGATAGGAAGAGACATTTATACGTAGTATATAGGTGAAGTAGAGTTCGTATCCACATAGAAAAGAATAATTGTCTTTTTAATGAAATGAGTAAATAAAAGGGGGGATTTGGATGGTTGCACGTATTTTGTTGAGAAATTCAGGAGTATGCAAATCAGCACGAAAGTTGACGAGCACTTCGTCGTAGTGCGTCAAAATAAATTGATACTGACACTTATACGTAGTATAGGTGAAGTAGAGTTCATATCCACAGGGAAAAGAATAAATATCTTTTTAATGAAATAAGTAAATAAAATGGGGAATTTGGATTGAGTGATTTAATTTAATTTGAACACTAAATTGAACGACTTATATGAGATTTAATTCAAGAATAAAAGGGACTTGGTCTTGCAACTTTTCACTTGTTGATATATTTTAGTCGATCATTGTTATATCTATAACTTATCCCCTCTCGAATACTCAATCCAGGAGTATCTCCAATTCATCGAGGGTAGTTATTAACAACGACCGTTCATTAATAACTCTTACTATTAATCAAATATAGATCAACGCCATATACCGATTTAATAGTAGTATTTCAATCTCCTAAACTCCTTGATGAAATCAATTGAGATTGATAACCTCAACACAACGGTTTCGGTTTAACCAACAAAATTGATCCCTCTCAAGTTTATTAACCACAATCGTGCATTAATAAACCGAAGTTACTTACTTGTGAAACCATCAACGATTAACCATCGATTCGTTGATCGTTTCTAGTAGTAATTAATGTTGGAACGTTAACTAATCGTCACATAGCAACCCTCCAACATTAATATAGAATGAGATTAAGGGAAGAATTAATAATCAAGAGAAGAAGTTAAGAAAATAACTCACAACTTTAATAATCAACAAGCTTCAAGAGCAAACCCGAGAAATGGAAGTTTAGCTCCTCATTTGGAGACTAAACATAGCTAGAAAAATATAAAGAAATGCTATTCTAAACTGAGGTTAAGAGTATGGAAAAAGTGATGATGAAAAGTGAAGGGAAATGTGGTTATTTATAGGTGTTTTCAACACCTATGGCCGGATACCCGACCGGGTATTTGACATACCCGACCGGGTATTTGCCAAATCAAATCTTTTTCCCACGTTTTTGTGTTCTTCTGCACATCTTTCTGTCTGAAATCACTTCATACCCGACCGGGTATATGGAGTACCCGACCGGGTATTTGATATAATTTCTCAGAAGCTTCCTCTTTCACTTCATACTCGGCCGGGTAAAGGCCATACCCGACCGGGTTTTGCACAAAACTCAGGTTTCTTCGTCCTTTTTGCTTCCAAACATATCCTAAGCATATAGCCCAACTAGCTACAACTTACAACAAACAATAAAATGCTAGAAATACGATTACAATCAAATGCAAACTAACAACTACAAACTTGCACAAAACTAGTAAATAAACATTACAAACAATAATAAAAATGTATACTTAGGCACTAACAACTAGTGCCTATCAAACACCCTCACTCTTGAACCTTTACTCGTCTTGAGTAAAATAAAACCTGTCTATGAAGTTTTTAAAACCACAAGAGTAGCAGAATAACTATCCAACGGTTTGTTTTAGACAAATCATAAAGAAAGCCCCCATGATAAAAGGGGTCTTCAACTCCATGCCTTCATCTTTCCTTTCTCATTATCTCCGTGCATAAATAGATATTTTTCTCTCATTCTCTCATTTTGCCTAGGAGCCTTTTCAGGTTTTCATCCTAACCTCTCTTTTTATTTTTCGTTTCTCACAACTCATTCATTTTAGCCACTTTTGCTTAGATTGCCCATTTTTTCTGGGTTTTCAACCTAACTAGCATTTTTTTGAAGAAAAATAATCAACTTACAAGGTTAAAAAATGAGTACATACCAAATGAGTGCCTCCCCTACACTTTTTTTGAAACATTGTCCCTAGTGTTTGGCACCATGATCGTTGACGTACCCTCCATAACCGCCATCGCCACCAAGACCATGTTCACCGGAGTTAGAACCTCCCAATTGCCCTAATATGAGGGATGATACCACGCCGGGTGTTGTACTATAGTGGGCATGTTGGAGAAGTTGTGTGTTCTCTTTGGTGTTTTTTTTTTCTTTTTTTGGAGTGAATTCCAAACTTGAGCTTGGGGGTTAGGGAATTCGGTTTGTAGGGTATTTGGGGGATTTGGTGAGTTTTGTGTGTGTGGGTTTGGAAAGTAGGGTGAGGAGAAAAAGAGATGGCATTTTGTTTTGGAGGGTTTGGGGTGGAAGAGGATGATTTGGATAAGAAGAATGTGGAGTTAATTTGGATGTTTTGGTTGAGATTGGAGTGGTTTGAAGCTTGAATGATTGTCAATGGAGGTTGATGGTTGATAAGCGTTTTATTAACGTATTTTATGCAACAATTTATAAACGCTTTTATACTTAAAAGAATAAAACTCTCACACATATGTCTCGTTTTGCAAGAAATACTATAATCGACAATTGGATCAAATACGAGGATGAAAAGACACACGAAGAATCCCGACAAGTAAAGGTCAACCAAACGCATCCCGAGAACAAAAGGAAAAAAGGAAAATACACCAAAGGGGTGAAAGCCGCCCGGCTTTCACCAAAACTGGCCGGTTTTCACCAACCAGCCATCCAGTTGCCGTCCGAAGATGAAGGAAAAGCATCCGGAGCAAAACAGACGAAAGCCGCCCGGCTTTCATGAAAGGCGCCCGGCTTTGGGCGCCGTGGAAATTATTCAGCAAATCGGACCAAAAGCCGCCCGGCTTTTGGCGAAAGCCGCCCGGCTTTCGGTCCCTGGAGCGGAGAAGCCTGTTTTAAACTCGCAAAAGCCGCCCGATTTTTGCGAAAGTCGTCCGCCTTTCGCCTGGAGCTGATTAAAACAAGCAACGGTCATCACAATCATTCGGGTAAAACACCAAATCCCATTAAGGAGCTTGCTTCCTTGTCCGAAAATGGCCGTTGAGAACTCAATATTTAAGAGGATTGAAGCCCTCTCAAGAGATCATTCCATATTCTACGCACTTTACTTCTACTTTGGCATCCCAAAAGCAACCCCTTGGTCTTGGGAGAAGTTCTACACTTGGGGAAAGCTTTATCCACCATAGCTTTGGAGTTGTGGTATCATTTTCTTATGTATTTCATTGTATTTTATCATTTCAATACTTGTAATTTCATTATGAATTGTTCTAGCTAATTTTCTATAGCCAAGGTTAGGGATGAAACTTTACGCACTCTAGGTATTTGATGTATGTTCTCAACCAAATTATTATGATCTTTCCTTTATATTTTAATGTGTATGACTACGGTGTACAACGTATGATTATATCGTTGGGTTTATTTGAGCAATTAACGTTGAGTTATAAACCGTGCACTTAAAGGTTAGACATATTCTAATTGTGGATAGAAATATACCTCAATTGAGTATGGTGTTTTTTATAATGTCCTAATCTTCAATGGGGTTAATTTTAGATGAATGTGAACCGTGACGGGATTCACGCGTAGAATTAATCACAATCTCGCTGCCGTAACAGGAGTTAGAATACTTTAGTGACATTCCACTCATAAGAATTGGCGAAAGAACATATATTCATCACTAGGAGTCGTTTAGGAGTAATCCCGAACCCTTGGTTGCTTTTATTATCTCTTAAAAAAAATCAAAAAGCTTTACTCTTTTCTTAATTCTTTTACTAAACCGCTTTCACTTTTGAATCATATAAACAACGTTTCCTTGTGTTCGACCCGGTATTTTTACCGGAATTTATTACTACATTGGCACTTGTACACTTGCAAGTTTCAGCCGATCAAGTTTTTGGCGCCGTTGCCGGGGAAACGGTTTTGTTTTATACGATTCAACAAAAAAATCC